TTACTTTACACCAATTCCAAAAAATATGTCATTTGCAGATACTTTTGATTAAATTAGAGAGATAATTTGCTGATTCCAGTTTATAGAATGTCACTTCATGTGACAAAAAACATTGTTCTTTTATCGTGAAAAATACTTGATTTTGACCCGATACAATTTTGTTTAACCCTTTTTCAGGGTCACTTGCCTTACATGTATCCAAATTCAAACGACACCTTGACTTTATCATGTTACCTTATACAATTTATGAAGGTATGACATATTAATCAATAATTCAAACATTTTAAGATGCAATAACTCTATAACAAAAGTAATCGAACTTTTTTAAAATCAAATGTATAAAATTGTTGTTTAAAAGACCTCAACATTATGCGCCAATTGTTAGTCTTAATTGTTCAGTGTTAGAGTGGTAGTGGTAATATGCCAAGATCAAAGATGTAGAAATTCAATTTTCAGAATAAAATTTATAAGCCATTAATATAAAGGTAATGTTTCTGTTATTGAGTTTAGGGGCATCCGATACAGTTTCAAGGAAGTTAACATTTGGCGCAACGTTGAGCATTCGAATTCCCGCACAACCTCACTTTTTGCGGGACGTTATGCAGTTAATTTTCCGTAATAAGAACGATATTTTGTACAATCGATGATCCAATTTATGTTTCTTACACATGTTAACTTATACGCCCTTAAGATTAGTGCATTTGATTCTAACAGGATAAAAGTCTAATAAAATCATAAGAAATTAAACACATATTACTGTTTCTGATGTTCCTCATTTTGAGGATTCTGTGAAATCTTCAACAAAATATCAAATAGTTTGCAATTTCAAGACGACTGACCATTTTGGTTTTACTAATATAATGCATGTCAATTATCATTTTGTATTATCATTCATCATCCATGATCGAATGTTGATTTGGATCCGATTTTCTGGCATTTTATTACAGCACAGAAAGGCAAAGTCAATATCAATTTGTGTTAGTAATTTTTTAAATCTAATTTCCTTACGAAACATTTTATTCCATTTATTTATGTAAAATAAATAATGGTATGTCGCCAATATTAACGATTATACAACTTTTAATAAAAGAACAAAGTTCCAATGTCCTCAGCGTTGCACGTATTTTATCCAACAAAGGGCAATAACTAAAAAAAAGTTGTTTTTGTTCTTTAAAACTTTTTACAAATATCTTAGAGAAATGACGGATTGACAGCAAATACAATGCGATCTCCAAAATAATTAATATTTCCAAGTGGCATAACTCTTTAAAAAATAGTTGGTAGGCACTTTTTTCGAACGCGTCCATACAATATAAGATTTATAAAAAACTGGCAAGAATTTAACACGTTAAAAAATCTAATAAACAGGAAGGACAGACAGACAGACGGACGTGCGGTATATCGATGCCTCCGCAACTTGTCACGCGGGGGACAAACATATATATAGTTATTTACCTATGAAATTACGCTATAAGAGAAGTATTTGGATTTTAATCGCAACTTTACTTTAGAGGGATAGAAAGGATCAAAACCAACACCAAAGTTATGTTGGATGTAAAGGTAACATGTCCTGTCTTCCAGATATTATTCGATCGTTTTTGCCAAATCAAAAATAATGAAAAATTAAAAATTATTGTAAAGTTTCTCTGTCAGGTAAAAGCCTCCTTTAACAAATTGAATATTCTGCTATATTAGATGTTTTTTTCTGACAAGTTCGTTTTGCAAGAAAAGACCACAAAAAGCAACCTTATGCTGTGATCCAATGGAAATAAGTATTTACAAGTGAACTTTAAAAACTGGTTAAAAACAGTAGGAGCGTCGAAGTATTTTTCAACTGTAATCATTGACCCGGATTTTATGAATAAATGTGAAGTTCTTAAGAGATTAGAATGTGAATAAAGAATTTTAAGGGGTATGTTCATGAAACAACCGCCCTCCAACCAAAAACAAACAAAAACATCTAGAGTTCAACATATCGTCTAAAACAATACACGAGTACGGTACCCAATGTCAAGTTCTAAATTGACGCGAGTCTTTAAATTTAGCCGTAAAAAATATAAACAGTCCGTAATAATTATGCTTGAGATGTTTCCCACTTGGATCACAAACAGAGAGAGGTATTTATGATACACATGATTTTATTTCCGAAAATAATATTACCAATTTATAGGTAACTCTTTATAAACAATATTGATACATCTGAAAAGTGTCTCCGATAACTTGCAGTGAAAATTGGCGGGAGACGTCCAAATTGTCTGCCAGCGACGTTGTGCATTTTTGCGCTAACGTTACGCTTATCAAAAGGGGACGCAATTTTTAGGATAAATCGCGATTTATCTTCGAATCCAGCACGGTGACATCTATTTTTGTATTTGCTCTTGAGTAAGCATCACAAACAGCAGTTTATGTAGAAACATGACAATAGAAGAACCCCTCGATTTATACATTTTAAGGTAAAAAAAATATCCTACTTTGAGCATCTTATCCGTAATTATAAGCATAGCTTGAAAAAGTTAACTAGTCATTCTTGAAAGCATTTATTTTTTTCTTATTTTCACTAATCACAGCATCAGATTGAAACCAATCTTATCACATTTATGACGAAGAATATCTACACTAAAATTTTTATAACTTTGCTTCACTTTTATACAAAAGTGCTAAATACCCGAATTTCCAGCCTCAATTTTCTGGCAAACAAGCAGGGTGACATATGTTTTACTTGGTGATTTCTTTTATAACTCGCCCAGGCCTTCAACATATTTCAAAGTTATAAAAATGACATTATAACATGAAACTGTATCAGATGCCCTTAAGTTTATTTTTTAGAGTAAAATTAAGATTTTCTACATTTACAAAGCAATATTTAAGGACATGGTAAATTAATACAAATCTTTCATTTGATATAAAGTTTCAAAAAAAGTGTGTGTCTTTTTTTGATAATTTTACTAAAAAACTAAACTGATCATTTTCTGATTCTATAATGCTGAATACTAATGCGCTACCTTAACGAGTCGTATGTGTGTAAAGCCATAAAAAGTACCAATTTAGATCGATAAGTTATTCAAATGTATACTTCATGCTTAATTCATTTGAAAGTCATTCATTAGTCATTTTGTGTTATAAAACATTTTTTTGTAAATGGCATACAGCTTAAGAATAAATGCAGCAGAATAATCTAGCAAATGACAGGTTCTCGCCATATTTGTAAACAGGTTTCATATAAAAAATTGGTACTTTTTATGGCTTTACACACATACGACTCGTTAAGGTAGCGCATTAGTATTCAGCATTATAGAATCAGAAAATGATCAGTTTAGTTTTTTAGTAAAATTATCAAAAAAAAGACACACACTTTTTTTTGATTGGTTCTATCCCTCTAAAGTAAAGTTGCGATTAAAATCCAAATACTTCTCTTATAGCGTAATTTCATAGGTAAATAACTATATATATGTTTGTCCCCCGCGTGACAAGTTGCGGAGGCATCGATATACCGCACGTCCGTCTGTCTGTCTGTCCTTCCTGTTTATTAGATTTTTTAACGTGTTAAATTCTTGCCAGTTTTTTATAAATCTTATATTGTATGGACGCGTTCGAAGACAGTGCCTATCAACTATTTTTTAAAGAGTTATGCCACTTGGAAATATTAATTATTTTGGAAATCGCATTGTATTTGCTGTCAATCCGTCATTTCTCTAAGATATTTTTAAAAAGTTTTAAAGAAAAAAAACAACTTTTTTTTAGTTATTGCCCTTTGTTGGATAAAATACGTGCAACGCTGAGGACATTGGAACTTTGTTCTTTTATTAAAAGTTGTATAATCGTTAATATTGGCGACATACCATTATTTATTTTACATAAATAAATGGAATAAAATGTTTCGTAAGGAAATTAGATTTTAAAAATTACTAACACAAATTGATATTGACTTTGCCTTTCTGTGCTGTAATAAAATGCCAGAAAATCGGATCCAAACACAACATTCGATCATGGATGATGAATGATAATAAAAATGATAATTGACATGCATTATATTAGTAAAACCAAAATGGTCAGTCGTCTTGAAATTGCACATTATTTGATATTTTGTTGAAGATTTCACAGAATCCTCAAAATGAGGAACATCAGAAACAGTAATATGTGTTTAATTTCTTATGATTTTATTAGACTTTTATCCTGTTAGAATCAAATGCACTAATCTTAAGGGCGTATAAGTTAACATGTGTAAGAAACATAAATTGGATCATCGATTGTACAAAAAATCGTTCTTATTACGGAAAATTAACTGCATAACGTCCCGCAAAAAGTGAGGTTGTGCGGGAATTCGAATGCTCAACGTTGCGCCAAATGTTAACTTCCTTGAAACTGTATCGGATGCCCCTAAACTCAATAACAGAAACATTACCTTTATATTAATGGCTTATACATTTTATTCTGAAAATTGAATTTCTACATCTTTGATCTTGGCATATTACCACTACCACTCTAACACGGAACAATTAAGACTAACAATTGGCGCATAATGTTGAGGTCTTTTAAACAACAATTTTATACATTTGATTTTAAAATAGTTCGATTACTTTTGTTATAGAGTTATTGCATCTTAAAATGTTTGAATTATTGATTAATATGTCATACCTTCATAAATTGTATAAGGTAACATGATAAAGTCAAGGTGTCGTTTGAATTTGGATACATGTAAGGCAAGTGACCCTGAAAAAGGGTTAAACAAAATTGTATCGGATCAAAATCAAGTATTTTTCACGCTAAAAAAACAATGTTCTTTGTCACATGAAGTGACATTCTATAAACTGGAATCAGCAAATTATCTCTCTAATTTTATCAAAAGTATCTGCGAATGACATATTTTTTGGAATTGGTGTAAAGTAAGTTATACAATAAAACTAAAAGTATCCTATTGTAAACTGAATATTGTTTATCAAATCCTATATGTATCTAAAATTTCTATACCATGTATTTTTGCGTCAGTTTCATCTTTAACATAGTATCTCACATTTACAGGTCATTTAAACCATAAATATGAACAACTGTTAATTCAAAATTGTAAGTTGGTAATATTTTACTTTTTTGTAACAGTTTTAGGTATATTTATTCATTAACAGATTGTTTTTAACTCGATGATATATTTATCTACACACCAATAGATACATTATTTAGTTGAAAGCAATCAATCCTACATTCAAGTACAACAAATTATTTGTAAATTGCATATGCAGAAGGTTATAGTGGCTTAAACTTAATTCAATATGTGCATTCTTAGATCGGATCAAAATATGTTTTGTTAAGTACATCACAATAAGGGTCAGGAATAGATAGTTCAAAAGTCGCAATGATCATACATTACAAGCAAAATTTTTTTTTTTAGCTATTGTGTCATTCTGCAAGTGAATTACATTTGACAATATTGATAATCATAAGAGGTTTTATTATATTATTATCAAATGTCTTTTGTAGTAAAAACATGTATGGATGGATAGTTTTATCGTACTTTGTGTTGAGTGTCAGTATGTTTGAAACATCCAAGGTAGTGATTTTTTTTTATTGTAGTTATATTTAATTTAAAAGTACTAGAATAACATAAACAATCTTTTATGGTAATATTCTATACAAAGCACAACATGTCGTCATTCACCTCAAAAGTTAACCAAACCTTTTAACAGACGTATTCAGAGCGATTCAGTAACGATACCGTTGTCAGGTCATTAAAGCTGGCATTTTTTTGAGTTAACATTGATTCACTCTAGGATCTTTGATTCGGAAATAAATACATTTTTCGTTATTTTACAAATTTTTTCTTTGATCTGGTATACTACTGTTGCCTTTATTCATCAAATTCTAGAACATAAACTGTCATCATATAGATGCAGAATGTGATAAGCCATGCATGTCAAAAACTTATTCTTTTATTTTATTTGGACATACAGTTTTACGTTTGAACGTTTGAAAAAAATGAACAGCAACTGATTAAGATGTAATTTTGAAGGTATCAGAAAACGTGTTGAAAGACAATAAAGGTGGGGAATATGACGTCATTGATGTTCAAATTGGGAATACAGATATTGCAATAATCCAGAAAGATGGTGTTATACTGGCAGACGAAATTACCAGTAAAGACAAAGTAAGATAACAATTAAGACTCATTTATTGATTTATAGTTATTTAAAAAAAAAATATTGTTGATGTTGTTAAGCACTGTACATTTATGACACAACTTAGAACGCATTAAATTCATAAATTATGGCAAGCCGTTTTACCATTTATTCTAACTACAAGATATTTCATATAATATATAAGATATCGTGAATAATCTAGTTTTTATAAGATATCTGATATCTTACATACTTTATGAGATAGATTTTGCCACTGATTGGCAAATGATCAATAGTTAATTACTATTCAAGCATCATGTACTAATAATGTAATATTAAAACTAAGGATACACATGCAAATGATTATATCCTCAATATTCAGTCGTCATTTCAATTTTATCAATTAACATATGTGAACAGTGTAGTTACATATACATACAATTTTTGTTTATTTGTCAACAAAACAGAGTCTGTTGGACGAAATGGCTAATAATTTTTTTTCATTTATATCTTTTAAAATAATGTTAAAAAGGGTCACTTATATCAAACATTCTTATTCATTTTTCTTTGTTTTAGGAGTATTCAATCATCAAGTATAACAGAACCTGCAATGTTCAGTTTTATGAAGTAAATGTAAATGAATGTCAGCATACGTTTTGAATGGAAAAGAAACTGAGCAAACAAGGATTCTAGGATTAAATGCCTTATTATTTTCTTCAAACCATTTGTTATGGAACTGTGCGTGACAATTCTCTAATTATTCAATTGTAACATTTATATAATTGCTTTGCAACCAAAGGTTTTGTTATAAATAATAGATATAAGAATATGTGGTATGAGTGCCAATGAGACAACTATCCATCCAAGTCACAATTCGTAAAGTTAACCATTACAGGTTAAAGTACGGCCTTCAACACGTCCTATTTTACCGACCACTATAAAGTGAGATATTCTTTTTTCGATTAGAACATATGCACCCATTCTCGTCCAATGGAAAATCAGTATTTTTCCATCTATTTTTCATAGAACATGGCTTAAAATGCACTTTAAAATGCTATACATGAATGACTTTTCATTGTAGATTAATTATAAAAGTGAACTCTTTAAAACTGCCCAATGTGTACAATCCCTCAAGGCAATTTCAAAAGGAAAGAGCCAAACAAAATAATGAGTACAGTTGTTTGTCTAATTATTATAAATGAAATTAGGAGAATAGAACTATAAAGCTATAAAAGCATTTTTAGTTGCGATTTTAACATTGTAGATGATATTTAATGGTACATAGATAGACCCTTCCGCATAAAAAAAAAAAGACAAAAAAATGAAATTGAAAAGGAGGCAAAGGTGTCGGTAAAATACATGTAGTATTGAATCTAATTTTATATGAGACCTTAAAATAAATGATTTTAGAATCAATGACTGTTGATAAAAAAAGAAAGTTTTTGAGAAAAAAAACCAATATATTCATCAGTAATAAAATTAATAATGAAAAAAAAAACAAAAAAAAAAAAAACAAAAACAAAAAAACAAAAAAAACATTAAAAGGAAAACAAGCATCTGACGAGGAAACGATTGTAAATTAAAATTCATTGATGCAGTTTTTTCATAATTAAAAAATTATACAATTCTAGAAAAGATGATTTATATAACATGTATAACATGGTGTGCTTTTTAAAACAAAGGAATTTTTGATATGTATAAGATTAAATTGTACCTGAAAAAGAAGACATCTCCATTTTTGAAAAAAAAATCCTTTTTCGTTATCACCATCTCTTTGCTCTTTCATTCCATTGATTGAAACGACCATTAAAACACATCCCTTTTACTAACCATGTTAACATTTAAAGTAAGGTAATATCAAAATCTGATTATGACAATGAGAGGCTAAATAAACTCATCATAGAAACAAGGATGAAAACTTGTATTTGCGTCAGAAAAGCGTTTCTAATTTTGTTATGTCACTCGAGAGCGTGAATATGTCCTTAATTGGTCAGACAATACTTGGTAATGTTTTTTGAGCATTTAAAATCCTGGAATACGCCTCAGACTTTACGTATTCATAAAAATGACCCAGTATTGTCTAAATATAATTCGTTCAGGTTTTAATACGCACTACGACTCATTTATACATTAAATGTGAAATACAACTCACTGATTATAATTTGGATATACACTTTAGAAATCATTATCTAGTTACAAAAAAAATATTATTGTAACTGCACGAAGCAAGACACAAATGAATTTTTACGGTGTATGCAAAATACAAGTCACTTTGTTGGTAATTTATCGTATAACTTAATGTATGAAAGGGGTATGGTCTTATTTTTACTTTTTATACTTTTTTATTGCGGAAAGCAGATTATTTTTCAACAATTTTCGAACGAACTTTTGCAAATAATTGTTTTCCCCTCTTTGTTTGACAATACATGTGATTAAACCGAGAATCATAATTAAATCTTATACCCGCACAAATCCAATTTTGAAGTATTTGGTTGCATTTCTATAGAATATAAGATTATTTTGTCATTTATTCATTTGATGGAATAAAAGGTATTATAGATAGAAGTAACAAGTAAAGAACGGCTCGAAAAGAGCACAAAATTGAGATACATGTACATGTAACACAGCGGCAGAATAATCAGACAGTTGATTACAGCTGTTCAACTGGAAGATGAAGAAGAAGACGAAATTTAAGTATGGTTTCCACTAAACGTGAATAAATAAGATTTTAAAAATCCTTCACCCGAATGTGTCAAATCTGTTTTTTTTAAAGTGCTATGAAAACTTTGCATTATCTAATTCATCTCGCATAATGTCCCTTTATTGTAGCAAAAATGTAAAGAAGACATCACATTATTTACTTCGAAAGTTAGAATGTGCGTCAACGACAATTTTTGTTATTTCAGTCAAATAAACTCAGAAAAAATTAAAGATTTTTTCCGCCTTTAATCTAACAAACGCAGAAAATAAAAAATAAACCACAATAAACTACAACACAATAACTATAAACCGAATTACATGTTAAAGTATATTATAGTTTGCATTTTAATCAGCGAAAAAAAAAGACCTAAAATAGAGAATTACGTTATGCCTTGTTTGAAAGAAAATAACTCCATATAGGTATAAAAGTCGGTCTGACAAATGTTAAAAAATTGGATTAGCAAATTGAATGGCGTGATCAATATAAATGAAAATAATTATACATCACTTTAGCAGGTCAACCTATTTTTCACGTGTATTATAGTTTGCATTTTAATTAGCGAAAAAAAGACCTAAAATAGAGAATTATGTTATGCCTTGTTCTGAAAGAAAATAACTCCATATGGGTATATAAGTCGGTCTAACAAATGTTAAAAACTACATTTTCAGTTACTTTTTCCACTAACACAAAACATAACAAACTTTTTAAAAATCTTTTAAAATATCTACATGCATTTAATTTGTATTTACTTTATGCTATGCAAATATCAATATTTGAGCTTCTTTAATACTACGGTCAATTTTTATAGACTGAAACACATGCACACATCTCGATTAATTATTCATAGGACTGTGTTTTGTTCCTTTGACAGCTTGGCATTTATAAATGAATAACGTATAGCTTCACATATGAAACTGCCCAAGTTAAGGATTTTGCGAATATCATTTTTACATTTGACGGTTAACCGCGATCTTTAAAGACTGCTCACAGTGGGTAATATTAAAACAGTAACGGTTGAATTAAGTATACGGCGGTGATCACCAATATATATGCAAATTTAAATGTATTCTTTATACATATTTTTTTAGGGCCTCGGTGGCCGAGTGGTCTAAGTAGTTACTACTGTAATCACTAGCCAGTCAACACTGAGGTTGTGAGTTCGAACCTCGCTCGTGCGGGTCAATCATAACTGACTAGGATTGTCAGTTTTCCTATCGAAAGTCGGTGGTTTTCTCCGGGCACTCCAGCTTCCTCCACCAATAAAAACTGACCACCACGAAATAGCCCAAAAGCGGTGCTTTAAAGTGGCGTTAAAACACCAAAAATCAAATCAATTATACATATAATTTATTTTTAAATTGATTTCAAGGTTTGTTAATATTTCGAAACTTCATCAGCATATTCATTATGTCTTTGAGTACTTGGCAACTCAATGTAACTGTATGATACCTTTAACTCACAAACACGTTTGTAAACATTTTAAGAAGAAAAGTACGAAAGGTTAGTTCTTGCATAGTAGTTTAAATTTGTGATAATAAAGATTTTCATGCTTTGATAAGGGAACTTTTTAAGTTTACACAAGTTTACTATCCCATGTGTGAATAATATCCTTAAACAACCGCTTAATGAAACTATGCCCTAAAATCAACACTCTAGTAGTAGTAGACATATTACTCACTAAGACTGTTTTTTTGTAAATCTGTAAGAAATAACAAATTTCAATTCATTTCAGCTTTCTTGTAATTGAATTAATAATTTTAAAATATGTCGTACATTCCTCTCTGATCATCTAGATAAATATAAATCTGTTTCAATACTTTTCCTGTTAAAAAACAGTATTTTTATTATAATTGGGGAACAGATGGATGGACTATATAATTGCTTGTAAAATGTAGTTGTGTAAGCTCCTGACTGTTTGGGACTTTAAAAGAGGGGAGGGCATCATGTAAGTTTTTGAAAAAAAATGTATACATCAACCTGCTATTTGGTAACATGGTAAAAAATATACAGTTAAAAATTCTGTGTTCTGTCCAGATTTGCTTTGACCTGTTCAAGAAAAATTGAAGCTCATTTTAAATTTCCCTTTTTTTTATAAACCTGAAGTGCAATCAAAAGAAAACCAAGAAAAAAAGTGGGGCTCCCACAGAGTACCCCCTCAGGTCGCAAGGTCGCTTTTAATTTTTGTGAAATAAGGGAAAAGATGACATGTGTGCAATCAAAATCTATACAGAAGGTCTGATAAAAAGATATCACAATAAAAAAATTAATATGAACGACGAAAAGTTATTCCCCACCCCACCCCACCCCAGGGAAATGTACAGGTCGCAGGTTGTTTTTCCAACATAGAGGTCGGAAGTCGTTTTTATATTTAAAGGATTCATTAAAGTCATTGTTGTGTCGATTCTTGTGTTATTAAACCAGGGACATATTTGTTCCTGATTAAACCTTTTAGTTTTAGATATTTTATTTAGATATTTGGACATTTTGCTGTGCCCTTGGGTTCGGTTGTTCTTGTTTTGTTTGAGGCCATCCAGAGATGGCTGTCTGTAAGTGGGAAGTTCCTGCTCTATTAAAGTTTGTGTCGTCAGCTCTAGTTTTATTTTTGTGTGGCATTTAATGATCAATATGTGATGTCTTCGTGCCATTAACCCATATCCATTCTTTTCCATATTGAGACCAAAACAGGACTTGAACTTTTCGATTTTTCAGAACAGTAGTTCCAACCAAACATTCAGTATTTTACTGATCCAACACAATATTCATATTGAGCAAGTCCCCAGAACTGGGGATGCAGAGCTGGATTTACCTACTGAGATACTTTGAACACGATCTATAGACTAATGGCAACAAGGGAATGTCTTGAAGACAGGGGTGTCCCGCTCGGCGCTTATTTCCATTTTCGATGGAACTCCTCCATTTTTACACA